TCCAGTCATATTGTTCCCAAAGCATCCCCATACCATCACAGAACGACCCCCATGCTTAACTGTGGGCACTGCACAATTGTCATTTAGTTTTTCAGAAACTTTTCGGCGCACAAAAACACGTCGCTTGGAGCCAAACACCTCGAACTTCGATTCGTCGGACCATAACACCTTGTCCCAGTCTTCCAGTGCCCAATTTTTATGGCATTTAGCCCACTGAAGCCTCTTTTTCTTATTTTGTTTTTTTAAGAATGGTTTTTTCACTGCAACACAGCCTCTAAGACCGCCCTCCTTAACACGTTCGTCGCCGCGTCACCCAGATCTGGGTGACGGGTATGCTTCTGTGGGGGCCCCGTCACCCAAATATGGGTGACGCTCTCTTATTCAAGTTAATAGTACTGAGGGGGCTGGAGGTTCAAGTGACAAACCTCAATCTACCCCAACAATTATTAAAGAGTTTATTTCCGCGGGTGTCGGGGGTGTAGCCACACGTAGGTCAAAGTTAATAACACTGGCTTCGCAAACGCGCGACGTCTTAGCCAGACTCGGGTCTAAAATAGACTGGGGGTCTTTCTTCTCACGTCCCCTGAATATATACAATTTCTTACCCTAATAGCAAAGGTAGAGAAAAAGAGACAGGACAGAAAGACGGAAAAACGAAACTGGAAAATACTCAGTATAGGAAAAGTTTAGCGAAAGCGAGTCATAAAAGTCAAGAGGCTCGCCGGGCCCGGATCAGGGTGGTCCGAGGCCCAGGCGAAACCTTGAGGGAAAACAGACGCCTCGCACGGCTTTGGTCGCCAAGTGTTTAACAGGACGACCAGGCTCGCACGAGACCCTGGGAAAATGGAAAAATAGAAAGCTTAAAACTATCCTTACATTCCATTCCCATTCATACTCTGGCAAGGGCGTAGTGGCTATACATGGCCGCTACAGTACTTTCAGTTGGATTTTTAAAAGGAATTTAATGGAATAAGCACTGAAATATAAATATTATACTATACTGTTTACTAATTTATATTTAGGATAACATATTACATTATACTATGTCGTATGGTGTGCGTTGAAACATTCTAAACACATTTGAGGGTATTTTGGACAATTGAAACAATAGGTCGTAGTTTTTTTTACATTTTTTTTCGCTTCTTGACGTTCAGCAGTTTGCCTTCTCTTCTGGTAACATAGAGCGCACATCCTTCTTATAGGCTTGCCCTGCTGATTCCTACGAATCTCTAGCTTATGGAACACGTTCCTTGTTTTATTTCTATGCGTAGCATTTTCCGGGGACAACCATTCGGCAACGAGGAGCTCCCGAAATTTTCTTATTTCAATTTTTTTATTTGTGGCTCTCTGGTACACGATGTGAGCATTTACTATACTTGTTCCTAAAAGCAAGTGCAGTGCTAATTTCCGATACCACTTGATACTTTTTCGTATCGTTGTGGCATATGACGCCATCTGATCGCTCCTGTCGATGCCACTTTTTCCATTATTATATGCCAGTATCGCCAAAGGTTTCTGTTTAGGAGGACGTCCGCGATGAGTAGAATCCGAGGTTGAAATCATAATAGGTGCATGTTTTGTTGATAACATCCTAACATCGCGAACATCCCTCCACTTTAGCACCACAATACCGTTGTCATCTTCTCTTGCTATCATTTCACCTCTCTTCAATGGGTACGACATTACAAACGTGGCATAAATTTTTTGTTGTATCGCACAGTACCAACGACATGCGTCTTGAATTTTAAAAATTGGCTGCTAATTCATAGCTTGTGTAAAAGTTGTCGACAAACAAAGTTCTTCCTTCATTTATCAATTTATCTGCAAGTACAATGCAGACGTTTTCAGCTATGCCAATTTGCCTTCTTCCGCTGATGTCTCGTCCAGAATATATTTTTGCAGGCCATGTATACCCTTCGGTGGAGCACAATTTGAAAAGCTTTATACCATATTTATGAGTTTTGGTTGGTATGTATTGTCTGAATATTAGTCGTCCCCTCCAAGGAACCATTGTTTCGTCGATTATAATATTTTCACCTGGTGAAAAGACTTTTTGAAAGTTGTCTGTCAATAGGTTTAGGAGTGGCAAAACTTTTCCAAGTCTGCTACCCTTTTCTATCGTTTCGTTATTTGCAAAATGCAAGTTTGCTAATAGTAATTCGAAACGATTACGGGACATCTTGCTGCGCGGAAATGGAAAGTTGTAGATAGGGTCCTTTGACCAACATTTCACAAGCGGTGTCTGTACTAGACCCATCCAAATCATCAGTCCTATAAATTTTATAATTTCTGCAGAAGTGGTGGGTTTCCACCTGTTCAGTCGAGCATGCTCAGCCATTTGTTGTTGATGCAATTTTTGCTCTGCATATCTATTAGTCTCTGTGACTAAAAGGCTTATCACTTTTTCGTCTAAGAATAGCGAAAGCACTTCACTTGCGCTAATATCAGACGGCAAATCCATCAGAAGCCCATCTTTTCCGGTGAACGTAAATGACTGTTGCCTGTTAGCAAACTCGTTCCACTGGATATTGTCCAATAAATCATGAACAGAGCTCAGCTGCTCTTCTTCGTCTATAGCAAGTTCTTCCAAAATGTCGTCGAGGTCTTCACTTGCATATGATTCCTCAGAATCGGAGTTTGAACTCGATGAAATTCTATTTATAACTTTCTTCTAAAACTCACTACTTCGTCATCACTACTCTCCTCACTTTCAATTATATTTTTACGACATCCAACGAACATTTTGAGGATAAAAAGTCACCGACGTGCGTCTCAAATAAAGTATGCTTCTTGACTAAATGAAGGATCTGGGATAACTGCCGTGAGATCACAGACAGTCCTCTAGCCGAAAACCTTATCGCTCTCCCCATTTCAGAACTAAACACACTTTGTTATGAATCGAAGGTTCGAAAACGTTACTCGAGTGCCAACTCGAGTTACATCCTTGCTATTTCCCGCTTATCGCTCTGTTTATGTTTCGGCGTTCCAACAGTCGGATTTGGGCCCCGCGAGAAACTCAACCGAATTGCGCTGGGCAACGAACGTGTTAAGACGCCTTTTCACTGTCGAAACCGAAATTGTGCGGTCCCTATAATTATTAATTTCTGCAGTTATTTCGGGGGCTGTGTCTCTCCTATTTCTTTTACTTATAGTTATAATATGACGATCTTCTGCCTCAGTTGTTTTTCTGGGTCTTCCAGGTCTTTTTACAGAGGAACAAACTTCTGCAACACTGAACCTATTGATGCTGTAGCTCACACAAGACTTCGAAACTCCTACTTTTTCGGGAATATTCCTTATAGAATACCCTTCTTTCGATAAAGTAAATATTTTCGAACGCATTTCGACGCTTATTTCGTTTCTTTTCGTGCCCATCGTGCTCTTCCAAGTATTTAAACTGAACTGATCTAGGCAGATCACTAGAGTGATCGCTGTGCTCTTATCTAACAGTCTTTCGTTTCGAATTACATTTCCAAATGTTTATGTTACTCTGAAGAAGGCAACAGGCCTCACTCAAGTGGTGCAGTAATCGTAAACTGCGAGAAAATAGCCTTACAAACCGTACGCACGCAACGAAATACATATAACGCAGTTTTCCACCCATCGGATAGAATTACTTTTATTTATTTAAGTAAATTGCATAACTAAATTGTTAAATTAGCACTACTAGAATACATTACATACGTATAACTAATAGAATTTAGCAACAAACATTATTTAATAATCGAAATATACATAATATATCACAAATTTCGTGAATGCGTTAAGTGTCCACATACTTATGAGCGGCAGTGTATATGTACATTGATAGGAAACATTAAACTGGTGCTAACGCCGCTAAGATTCATATACCGCATAAAAATAAATCGCACGAAAAAAAATCGCAACAAAACTAATCGCACAAAAACAAAATCGCATAAAAAAGGACTGCGGTTTATTATTCACAAAAACAAAGATAAAACTTTTACACTTGATTTCGCGATACTCGCGTTTCCTCGGCTTGGGCGTTGGGATGGTTTGGGATACAAGATTGTGGAGTGCTGATATCCGTTTGTTGAGTCTTCTTTGGAGTGGGGTGGTAGTGGTGACAGAAGTGGCGGCATGTGACACATCTCGCTCCAATCCTCTTCGTCAGGCATCCGTTTTTCGGGTGTTTGAGCAGGCGGCTTCTGCGTCCCTACCAGAGCCAACTCCTTTTTGGGGAATTTCTTGGATTTTGGCTGCGATACTTTCACTGGAGGCTCTTCTTCGAAAAAGTGGTGATTTTTGGGTGATCCACGTAATTCCATGAACGTTGTGCTGCGTTTATTATGATTCCTGCTGTTTCGAGGAAATCGATGCCTAGGAGAGTCCGGTTTTCGGTTGCCCCGGGTAGCACGATGAACGGGGATTTGATGTTTCGATCCTTGAGCTGGACCGTCAAATCTGCACATAGACTGACCGTATTTGCGGATGTCCATCCGCTAGAGCAATCAGGAGTTTTCGCTGCTGGAATTGGTTCCATTTGCTGCCAGTTTATTGTACAGGCTATCACTCGCGATACTCACCTTTGCCCCTGTGTCAAAAAAGGCGTGGCCTTCGAATCCTTCGATTTGGATCCGGGCCGTTGGACGATTTCGGGCCTGGGCTAGGCTCACGGAACAGAAATCTGCCGTCTGGATGCTGGATACAGTGGCTTGGCTACATTGCGGACACCGACTTCCTATAACTCCGGGGTTTTCCGCATCCATAACAGTGGAGAGTTGGTGGTTCTAGTTTCGTTGGTTCCTTGGCTTTCCTTCGCCGACATTCTTCGAACGAGTGACCAGTTTTTCGGCAGAACGAGCATCTTACAAGTTTTTTTACTTGGGTCGGTAAGGGTTTGCCGAATGGTTCCTGCTGTTCCCTTGCTTCCTCTTCAAGAGCTTCCAAACGTTCTTGCTTTCCCTATGAGCTCTTCAAAATTATTTACTGAACACCGCGGGATTTTCTCGCGTATGCGCAGCTTCAGGAGAGAGTACCTATATCATGTCAAGTTGAATCTCTTCTGCGTGTTTGTGCGTTAATTCAGCGAACAAATACGTCAGTCGCACAGTTCTCTGTCTGCTTTGTTGCGAATAATTCTGCGTACACGGCGTATCCGGGCTTCTTGGTGCGTATGCGGCGCGCAGCAGATCCATGGCCTGAGCCCATGTCGTCACATCTTCTTTGACGCCGTGCCACCATGTCGCTGCTTCGTCTTCCAGTAGTAGTGGAAGGCCCTTGATCCCATTTACGTCAGAAATGTTTTCGATTTCTTTGTAAATCGAGATCGTCGAGATGAATTCTTCGACCCTTGTTCTGTTCGTTGATCCTCCAAAACGCGTGGTGCAGCGCTCGAAGCTTCCCTGTGACGTGGTTGGTGGGGATGTTTGCCGAGTTGTCAGCGTGGCCAGCAAGCGGTTTAGCTGGTCGTCCATTTCGACAGTCATCATGTTCCTTGGACTTCTTCTTACTTCTCCACCAGGTGATTTAGGATCTTTCTTGGTGGCCGTGATGAACTTAACGTGGCCTCTAGTTGGGCGTCAAATTGTAACGGGAATGTGGTTTATTATTCACAAAAAACAAAGATAAAACTTTTACACTTGATTTCGCGATACGGTCGAGGTTTTACACGTACGGTTTTGCCACGGCGCACAGTGGTTCAAACTACCCATATTAAGGAAAAAATACGATAGCATCAATATGACAGATTCAATTTGCGTAAAAATTGGTATTCCCATGTTTTTGAGGACGCTGATTATAAATCTGAAGTAAAAATTTCAAAAAAATGAAATGACTGATCCAAAATGAAGTAATAATTTGTGATAAAAGACGAGAAATTAAGAAATGTTTTTTTCGTTGCAAACAGTCACATTTATGCAAATGTAACAAATAGTTTTCTGATTTGTAAAGAAAAATGCGTTTTAAATTAAATATGAAAAAGAAAGATAGTTATATTATGTAGTTATTATCTTGTAATTACCTAATCATTGTCCTCTGCAAGTAAAGCTGTCACATCGTTGTTGAGTTCAAACATCATTTTCTTTGGCACTGTTCGAAAACTATTTATGTACGGATCGGAAGAAGCTAGAAGCATGTGCATCGTATCTTCATTGGTGCATATCCGCGAACATTTTCTTGAGTGTTTCAACCGATATTTTCTATAGTCTTTATTTCTTGCTTCTTGAGCTTCCTCGGTTAGCATTCCTATTGGTAACATAGCAGCTGTTATTATTTTGCTCCCATGTAAAAGTATTTTATGTACTGTATTCGGCATATTATACCAGCTGTACAGCTGTACGTACAAATGGGCAGTCTCGTTGCAATAAATGCCAAACTTTTCAGAATCTATTGTATGGCTACTATTTATTGCTTGTAATATAACTGAGAAACGATGGATTAAATTTTCGTCCACCCCTGTTATTTCCGCTGTTAATTTTGGGTTACTGAAAAATCTTCTGGAGGTGTTTCCATCGTTGCTGGTACCCATGCCCTGTTTTACAACATCCACTTTCAGTCCCATTTTTTTAATGAATTTTTCTTGTATTTGTTTTTTAGTTTCAAGTTGTTGTGGTTTGGTGCGTATATTTGTTCTCCAACTTTTAAATGATGAGTTATATGCAATGTGCAGAATGCATTCCATAAACTTGATTCGTGCATGTAGAGGTGATAATCCCAAGTTAAGGGCATTTGCAGCTTCAGGTTTATTTCTTATGGCATCTAAATTGTTCATTTCCGATGGTTTCGTTTTGCATATATAACACACTGCCATGGATGGTGTATTAGTCACTGTTTGTGCAATTTCCAAGGGCCCAGAGACTGAACCTAATGGCCATTGACCAGGTCATGTCCAGGGGCCCAAGCCTGGCGGAAATTCCACCACATTGCAAAATCATCTTTGTCTTGCCTTCCACCCCCATTGGTACTGCTTACTCCGCACGGACCGCTTTTCAGGCGCGCGGAATAGGTGGATGTCAATGTAAAAATTACCAATCAGGTGACTAGACATGACTAGACGGAATCATATACATTTAAATGTATTATTCTCTACGAAAAAGTATTAACATATTTATGTCGAAAAACTATTACTTTCGGAGACTTTTGAATATTAATATTAAGTCTTTAAATTAAAACTAATGATCTCCTGATATAAATATGTTAGTACTTTTTTGTAGAAAATAACACATACAATAAAATAATAAGTTAAAAAATATATGACTCTATTTAAGACAATATCAATGACCCAAAATGAAAGCGAGATATTTCATACATTGATCAACGTTACAGAAAAAATGCTCCCAATACCAAAATCGCAGATTTACGCAGCTGAAACCTGTTTGGATATAACTTAAGGGGTTACGCCACCCTGAGGCGGCCGAAATAACATCAAAGTTTACGAATTTTTTTCTACGAAACTATGAATGTGACAATTACTTCATTATTATTTATGGTTAGGGCATACATTAAAGGACATATTGTGTAAATTTGACAAAAAAATATTAAAAAATGGCCGAGCTATCCGTTATCCGGCAAAACTCCTCCGTCAGGACGCGCGCAGACGGTGTAACGGATTGTGATGCCCAGGATTATCTGAAACTAAAAAACCCATAGTTTTATTGTTCATTGATAAAATATCTATCGTGTAGCATAGGGATTGAGAGAAAAAAGCATTTTTGTACAAATGCGAGCAAAGTGAAAATGAACATTAAATTTTTACCAAAAAGGCAAAATTCAAACATTACTATAAACAATTGGGATATGGTATCAAAAAAATCCTATGCTACATGATAGATAATGTTGTTAGAATTATGTGTATCAAATTTGAAGTAAATCGGACGTACAGTTTCGGAGATTTTTGATACACCAGTTGTAAAAATGTAGTTTTGAGAAAAACGGAAAAGAAGGAAAAGTGTGACTTTAACAGATGTTAGAGAAAAAGATTTTAGTGTTACCTTCAATCGGCAATGCCTGGGCCATACAGTGTCTCTTCGGCAGCAAAAGTATGTCTTCAGATTCTTTTTGAGCTGCTCGTTTTAGTTTCCTAGCCTCTTTTGTTGCTTGCTGCGCTCTTAGATTCGCAATTGTGATGCGATCCGTGTCCCACTTTTGACAGGCTTGTTGCGCGCTCGGTCCAATTGTTAAATTCATATTTGCATGATAAGTAATATATTGTTATATCCATCGTTGAATATATTATTGCAATGTTTGTTGCGATTTCGACAATTTTCGCACCGCTGGAAGTGACTTTCGGTGCCATAGACCAAATGAGAGCGTTCACGCTTTCATTGTTATTTTGCGTGAAAACCTCCCAAACAACGTTCTAATAATTCATTGTACTCAATCTTTCGTACACTGGTCGAATAGCTTTTTGAACATCTTTTGAAATTGGGTCCAAGTGTATGTAATTGTCCAGAGATTCGTGAGCCTGCGCTTTCTGCCATGAGCACCAGGAATCTTTCCCAGTAGGGCACTTCTCATGTTGGGGATTCTTATCAGTGGAAATTTATGATAGAAGGTGGCCCAAATTGCATTCTCATTCTTCTATGAATTTGAATTCCTTCTGATGGCTAGGCCATAATAAACGGTTAATTCGTCAATAAGTTTGGCAGTTAGTTACCTCTACCACCAAGGCCTTATTTTCCTTCCTTACTTACGGAGTTGCGCACCCATTCGTTTTTGGACGTGGCCAATACATTCTTTTTTTTCACAATAACGTCACCATAAGGTTTTGAGTCTAGAATCCCTTTGTATGTTTACTATCTCCGTCGCCGATGTAATTTGTGTATCTTATACCATACTTTTCCTCCGATGCTGCAAACATCCTGTTACCGCATCAACTTCCATCTTCTGCAGATCCTGTATGATTGGCTGAACATTGTTCGCTGTGTTTTTCTTTCCATTCTTGATACTCCTCAGTATCGTCATACTTTTTCCAAAATTCGCATGCTTTGCAATAGCGTGATTTTATTACCGCATTTATTACTTTGCCGGTATAATGTGCAATAATAGTTGCTACTCCGACAAGAGAAGAAAATCCCCGTTTTCTCCAAGTTCCGTCTCCTGAAACAGTTAGTCCTTCCGGGTTTCCCTTTTGTAAATTCATTTCTTTTTCTGCATTCACAGCATTTTCATTGATAGTTCACACGCACTTTTTGCGGCGGTATGAATATTTTGAACTATTTGTCGTAAAATGAATGAAACACAGGTTTCGGCATGTCCATTATTCCACAGAATTTATCTATTCCCGCCAAACCAAGTCCAAGTAATCGAAAAGCAAAGACAATTCTTCTGTCACATCGTATGCTTTCGCATCGATGAGAGGACTTGAGTTTACACACACAGGTTGGCACGATTTACAAGTCATATGATTTTAAAACCAAGTCCACGAATAGCAGATTCTGTGAATTTCACTTTGCCATTACACACGTTACATTTCACTGCCTCACTAATAGCCGAGAAACTGCTACAAAATTTATTATGCGGTAGCCAAACGTTGCGTCAACTACTATATCGACATCTTCAGTCGCTTTTTAATTTTTTCGCTGACGTCTCGTGCTAGCTTCCTCACTTTCCATCAAATAGCGATTTGCAGGATGAGTTTCCTTTTATGGCTCGTAGAAGCACGTCCAGAATGTTTTCTCGAACCCTTCTGATCAAGATATACACGTTTTGACATTATGAAATAAAACTAAGACTTTTTCGAAACTTCTAAGCACGACGTTCACTCTGACGATGCGATCGAAAGACTGAGTCAATCTTTCCGAACATTTGCCTTACACCAATGCAATTAACCCCCTAAAGCTTTAAATGACCCTACTATGTCCAAAGGCACCCTGCCGTAGCCTGGAAATAAAACAATAAAAAAAGGCCTAGGTAATCCTCCCGCGAAGCGGATGGTCGCTACCTATTCCGAAACGGCAACTGCCGCACGACCTTCCAAGCACTGTAACTTGGCTATTTTTGGGAGCTGTTGCATCCACCATGGCTTAAATTATTCCCTGAACTCCAATAAAGGAAAATACAAAAAAAAATCGATTTTTTTTTAAATCTCAGGGTAGCGTAACCCCT